ATATTTCTGCACAGGATGCATTGGAGTGTACATGTAGGTATTATAAACAGACTATATTGCGTGGTCTCAAGGGAAACTAATATTGACTACATGCAGTGCATAAATCAATAGAAACATGGCCACATGTGCATTGTAGCACTTGAAACTAGACCGTGAGAAAGTTTCATCGGGATGTTGCCTGAACTGGAGAATGCCTTGCACATGGTCGTTAACCTACATTTTGTGTTACACTGAAACAATGGGGAGTCATGTTTCTGTAATAGATTTGGAATATTTTTTGAACAGATTAAGCAGTGCCATTCTGTTTGTAAGGACAGCAGGTTCCCCCCCCCGTTAAATCACATGCGGGTATTTCACTGATTTGATTGTACCCCATCCCTCAGACCTTGATGATTTAAGAGAGGTGATTTTTTTTTTCATTAACAGAAAAAAAACCAAACAGGAAAAAAGGAAAAGAATTACTGGAAGTTTAGAAATAATGCTCTGGGTGATATCATCAGTCAGTTTTTAATCATATGTTTTTAATAAGATTTGTATGGAGGAAGTACATGTAATAACTTAGGCATTATGCAAACCTGCCCTTGTGATGCCAGCCTTCCCTCACCCTCAGTGGCTGAATTGTAATTTGTTCACGGTTGATTGTTTTGATTAAAAAAAAAGAATCAGATTTTTAAAATTTAAATCTGAATTTTTTTATTTAAATCGATTTTTTTACTTTAATAAAAATTTGAGACAAGGTGGCTAAAATTTCTAATCAAAGCTAGAAAATTAGCTGCATTTGTAATAGTTTTCTTTTATTTATTTTTTGTGACAAAATTAAACAAATGTGGATTTAAATAAAAAAATTTGATTGAATGCACAAACCACCATGTCCATGTCAATTGGTGAAATGCATGCAGTATAACGCCTACCAGTACATGCACCCTCAGACAAGACACTTCCTCCAGGGACAAGTACATGTATATGTTTCAAATATTGAGACATTTTTGCCTTTTTACCCAAAAAATTAAATTTGTTGATTTAAATCAGTGATTTTTCAAAAAAATCATTTGATTTAAATCGGTGATTTAAATCAGACAACCCTGAATTCATTCTCAAAACCTCATTCACTATGCAAACAACCAACCATCAGTGTGAAAAAAAAAACAAGCAGTGGTTGGTTTTTTAAATAGTCATTGTTGCATTGGCCTTCATGGAAGGGCTGCGTGTGTAGTCAGTGTAGTTGCCATATTGATCGCGACCAAGGGCAATTCAATAGTCGCGCCCATGTTTCAGATGTCCAGCTCTACAAGTCATGCATGTAAGAAAGTGTGCTTGCTACCGTATGGAGCTACCAATTCTGAATTGGGGTTCCCACAGTTATGGAAGGTCCTGGAAAACAAAGTTGTCCTGGAAAGTCACGGAAAAGGATCCTTGAAAAAGTGGAGAAAAAGGATAACGTGGAATCCTGTTGAGTCTTGAGGGAAAAAGTCATGGAAAAATCACGGAAACCAAGATCATGCCTGGGTTCCTTTTGATTGGCAGGGGGCCGCTTTTGATGTGTCAAGGAATAATGCTACGCATACATGTACATGTATGTACACATTTGTGTAGATTGGTGTTCGTCATTAGGAGTGGCTGTAGCAGGCTACAATTTCATATTAAATGATAAACAAATTTACCAAATTTTATCCATAAACTAGCATTAAATGCCATGGAAATTGTCATGGGGGGGGGCCCTGGAACGTCCTGAAAAAGTCACGGTCAGTCTCCTGACTTTTTTGGGAACACTGAAATAATTTTCATCATGTGACCTGCTCCCTCTTAGAGTGGGAGCGGAGGCACCAAGTACTGCTTCCAATGTGAATCTCACTGAGGGAATTCTGGATAAACGTGTCAACATTGCCAGCATGGTTTAACACCTCCAGTGTCTGCTATCAACTTTCAGCAGTTTCCCTTGATCGTTAAAGCCCTTGAACCCTTTTCAGTCTCTTTGAAATCCACCAGGAAGTTTTGGAGAATTTGGCAGGATTAAAGGAAGATGTGGCCTATAAAATGGTTGGGACTCCTGGCAGTAAGCTCCCCCATTCCCCCGGACAGTGTTATTATGTGGAGCTGGGACGCAGACCAGGCAACAAGGAAGAAGCCTGAGATGTGAGCGGGGGGGGAGACAGGAAGCCCAACGAAATTTGACCTGGATTGTCCACTGTTTCATGCTTTTTTTTCACGTTGGAAATATGATTCCCCCTTGAGAATTTCAGTTTTAGAACGTATGGCATTTAATAGGAATTGAACAGTGGGAGATTTTGAAGGATTCAGGAGGGTTGCTCTTAAAAAAAAAATTCACAGGGCAAAAATGTGTACACACCTAACATGCTTTGGTCAGTGATAAAGATTTTCATGCTGGAGCATTTTGGATAACAAAAAAACACACACATGGTCGCCTGTTAGACAGTATGCATGGGCAGGCATCTGCCTGTTTTGGGGAATATTCTAACTGTCTGAATCTCATGTAATCATTCTCATGTGCCGGTGCATTGATTTTAGATTTCACAGCCGTATATTTTTCAAGTTGGGTGTTCAAGCAGATTGTTTTTACTAGTGTTGCCAAAGACAATAACCTGCAATGGCTTTTTGCAAATCATGCATGGCTGGTGTTTTGCCACTACAGCTATGAATATATTTGTGACTCTGTGTCTATTTTGGACTTCAATTGTGTATTTTTGTCTCCACTTTTCCGTAGGTATGGCCGCGTTGAAAGCGTGAAGATTACCGGAAAGCGGGACAACGACGGCAGTCTCTCGGCATTCGTGGACTTCGTGGATATTAACAGTGCCACCAAGGCACACGAGGCAATCATCCAAATTGCAGATCGTGAACTGCGCATTGAGTACAACAACCCGGACTCTTTACTCCCCGAGGATTCTTTAGCGCACAGGGATTACGATGTGGGCCACGGCCGGCACTCGCGGTACGACTCGCGTCGTGACGGGTGAGTCTCGGAGACCACAGCACACCTTTGGAGAAAGGGTGTTTTGAGAATCAGTCCTTCATCAGAACAATACTCTGATTTTTGGGGGGGGGGGAAATCAGTCATATTCTGAGGAATCATAGTACACCTACTGGTACCTGCAGTCTAACCCTAACCTTCCCCAACCACACAGAATTAAACAGTAGTAAAGTGTTTAATGCTGTGGGGATAGGTCTGGTAGGCCCATAACAGCTGGCTTTTTCATCGGGTGTGGCATACCTCAGAAAAACAAAGTCCAACAGCCTCTGTGCACAAAGTCCCACATGGGTGTTTAACTTTGTGTGAATGGGGAAGGTTTGGGGAGGTTAGGGTTAAGAAGTAAAAATAAAGTAATGAAACAGATACATGTCAGGCCTACATGCAACTTCCCCTTCTCCAGTCAGTAAACCAATATTCCACGTCTCGTTGTACACCTGTGTACATGGTAGCCTCTGAAACAGAGTTTTCAAGTGGAAAACATTCCAACATGTTCACGCTCTGCAGAAATCCAGCAGTTGCTTGATCCAAGCTCAGTCCCTCCCAGAAAGTTGCATGAATACTAAACATTCTTAGTCCATTTTTGAAGCCCCGTCGGTGCATGTACATGCGATGTTGACAGTAATTTATGATACACGTAGTTGCGTGTGGATGTACGGCGTTCAGTTAACGGATGGGGATGGATATTACACAACAAGGAAGTAACAATCGTGATAAACAACACGTGAGCTGTGGGGGTCTCTTTGCCGTGTGAGGCTGCATTATTCACTGCATTGAGCCCCAGCCTACATGTACATCTCGGGGTATTATTAGAATTGGGAGATCTGCAACACAGGATGTGCACCCTTTGTGAGTCACGACAGTTTGTGGGGAAAAATATACCTGGATTTAAAGGGTCGTGCCAACCCGGCATCGCTGTTTGTTATGTTCCAGTTTGTGATGAGTGGGGGGGGGAAGAAGCCGTGGAAATCATGTAAGCCTGATTCACAGTTACTGAAATTTCGACTTGATTACAAAAAAAGTTGGTCATGCCTTCTCACCTACGTCATCACATTAAGCTCTTTTATTGTGTGTGTGTGTGTGTGTGTGTGCCGATATTGCTGATAATAATTTTCATGCATGTCGCAATTTCCAAGCCATGTTGGCATGCATCCGATGACCGGATCAGTTCAGAAGAGGCTGTTCATCTCCACCTCCCTCTGTGTGCAACAAGCCAAATTCCCAAAGGAAATGACAGAATCCCAAGAGGGGATGCCAAAATCAGGGCTGCTTTGCCACTACAGATACTTATGTGCCTGGAAAAAAAAAAAAGGGGAGGGGAGTCATAGACCAGGAATTTGGGTTGTAATTTTGGGTTTCATCGGAGCGGCCGGCCTCCCAGAATAGATTCTGGTGGTGTTTTCCTGGAGCGGGATTCTCCCTACGGGATCTTGTTTGTCAGGGACAGCTGTCGCAGCCGCTCATCTGGTGCAAACAGAAACCAAGAGCTCCCTGTGATCTCTCCCGTGACCTCTTCGGGCCAGGCGACCTTTGTGGAGGAATGCCTCCAGGTCATCATCCCCGCAAGTTCCTCTTTGAAAAAAAGAAAGGAGGGGGGGAGGAGAAATGCTAATAGGACATCGGCACTCTAGTGAATTGAATTAGAGTAGGGTTGGAAGAATGATAATGGCCTGTAATTTCTTCTTATCGACCTGAACTTTGAATCAGGAGTGTTACCTGAAGTGCCCTCCTTCCCAAAGACACCAACAGAATTCCTTCCAACCCCGTGAAAAAATCCTCGGCATTGTGCACCTGTGTATCATTTGTTCACTATTTCCAATCACCAATAAATGGAACATTGGGCATCTGGAAGAAGTCAGAACTGCACATTACATTTGCGGTGAATTGTTAACCACAGCAGATAGGAAACAGCACAACATAATTTTTTTCATCTTCTATTGCAAGGGGGGACTAACTTTACAAAGCAGCTTTAAATTCTGTTGTCGGCAGTGTGGAGCTGGGAACACCTTTTTGCTGCACTGAAACATAACGTGTGTTTTTGTTTTGCAAGCCGTATCTTGTGTTTTTGTAAGCTACATGTATGGACAGGTCGTAAACATTGGGGGGAAAACTGTAAGCCTATTGTTCTGCCACATGCTGCCGAGAGCTGATTGTGATTATTCAAATGCGCAGGCACATGTCCATGCAAATACCACCACACGGCCCTCCCTCTGCAGAGGTGAACAATTCATATGGACACGCACAATGGCTGTGGGCAAGCCCATTTCACCCACCATCAACACGCGGCAAGTGGGGCATGTCAATTTGAAGTCTGGGCATAGAAACTGCGAAGGGGGGGGACCATTGACATCAAAATGCAAATTAAACCATTTCAAGTGGATGCATAGTGGCTAGTGTGAATCACCGGAGCTTGGGACTCGGGTTGGACGCCTGTTGTTGCTGAATACATTTTAATTTTTTTATTGTGTGTGGCGGGTGCTTTTTATGTGGCTCTGTACATTAGACAATTCTTGGACAAGGCCGACCAGTCTGTTTTGCAATGCACATGTTCACTCATACATGATTACATTTCTGTGGATTTTTCGCAAAAAGCAGAGCCGGGAATGGATCGGTTGATGAGCCATTTGAATGCATGCATTCATCCGGAATGAGAGATGCGGCACTGCTGTTATTCTGAAGGGGAAAATGAAAAGTCGCAGTGTGAGCGTGTGCGTGCCGAGATTTGTTCCAGAAATGCAATACTGACCGAGGAGCTTGGATGGCACTAGATTTTTAGACTCCATGGGGCTTAAGGAGTCTGCTTGTGTTGAGTTGACACCAGCGGTTGGCACTGGGATTGAGAATATCTGAGATTGTCCCCTCCCCCCAACAACTTACACTGCATGGAGTGTTTGGTTTGGACTGAGCATTGATTTTGAGCTGGCTTGTGCTGAACATTGAAACTGCCAATTTTCTGTTCCCCCTCGCCATAGTGAACTTGAAACAGGCCCTGCAGTACCCTGGATGGCACTAGATTTCATTACGCACAAAGACCAATAAGAAAAAAAAAGCGGGTTGCTGCTGAGAAGGCCTTTCTTTTAGTGAGTTAAAAGGGATGCAGAGGTTACATTGTGAATGGGTTGAATCGGTTCCGAGAGCCCGGTTCAAGACGTTTCAAGGACTCCACATTGTTAGTCAGGTGTAATGGGATCTGGCCACCCTGTGCCTGCCTCCAGTCCGATCACATTCACCAAACCTGTTATTCGGAGGGACTTCTGAAAGGAAAGAACCAGGTTGACGCCGACGGTCGGTCGCAGGTTTAGAAATCGGGCGAGCACATGTGGGCATTGATTACAAGGTACATGGATACGCAACATGGACGCCAGCAGGTTGGTACACATATTGGGAAGCAATAATACTCTCGATTCCCATGCACGGATGACTGCTTTGAACTCGACCAGGCACTAACTTGCAGTGTGTACACCTTGGTCGTTGTACTGGCACAGGTACATACATTTACCAACAATGCTATATCACAGGAGCCCAACTGGGTAATGTGGCCTGTCCATTTTGGTAGAGCCATCTGGAATTGGAAACAGTACATTCAGTGCATCAAGACCATCAGCGGCACTGTGCATCCACCGTGGTGCACTGACTATGTAAAAGCACACGCCTGTTGTACCACACTCTTGGTAGGTGCACTGTAGCGCTGATCACCTGCATGGAACGGATCAGAACCAAGAAGCAGTTTTGCTCCGTCCGAAATGAGCGGGGGAACAGTTGTTAGCAGAAAGAGGTTGGTTTTTTTTTTTTTAATTGCTCAGGCCAAGCTACAGGTGAGCCTGCCTCACTTTGAGAAATTCAATTCACTATGGGTAGCCTTGGTAGGCCTACAGTGTACATGTACATACACTGTACATGCACATGTAAATCTGACTACAGTGTCAGTTTAACACCTTTTAAATTCAAATCTACCAAAGCACATGTGTAATGTCTATAGAGGAAGATGGTATGCCACGCTGCTTGTGGCTACTGTGTTTCATGTACTCGTATTGTTGTATACTCCTTACTGATGCTTGTACGTCTTTGTGCACAAATGTGATAAACTCATTCCTTAGTGCTGTCTAATACATACATGTACATGTACATGTATACTAAGCAGTGAAGTGTGCACAGGCCTCATATATAAGGATATTCCCAGGGAGTACAGTCGTTCAGACTTGTTCAGCAGCTGCTGTGTTCATGCTCATGCTCAGCTTCATCATCATGTTCAGCTTCGTAATGTACCCACCATGATGGTCCCTAAAGGCTGGCAGCCACACCAGAGCTGGAGGTATATGAGTCACACCGGACTTGCTAACCACATTCACAAGGCCCTTCCTTCCTTCCCTCCCTCCCCCCCTCCACTCTCCCTGCTAGCCAATCCGGTTGCTTGACCTCCAGCCTTGCGCTGTTATTAAAGCCAGACTTGGCCAACTCCACAAGAAAAGGATACAATCAGCGGCAGGCACATGAATGTAGACAAGTTAGCCGAGGCTGTTTTCCTGTTCAGGGTTGTTCAGAGTGCAACCTCCCACGACAACAGTTTCCGTGGTGAATAGTTGAGTCTCTCTTTTTCTCCCAGCCAGTCTGGATTTATTATTGTTTGCCAGCACTGGTTATTCCTCTCCTACACAGAGCAAACCAAAGGACAATAGCAGCACTGGAACGCTGCAAACCTTGTGCTTTTCTGTCTGCGCCCCAACGCTTTTCATGTGGCTGCTTTTCAATCGGCCCCTCAAGGCTGCAGGGATTGGTGCAAAACAAATCACTGTAGCAGATAAAAGTTTCAAAGGTTTCTTTGAAACTGTTCTTTGCCGTTGCAAAATACACCGAGTCGTGGAAAATGATTTGTTGTGGTTGAACATGGTTGTGGATTTTTTCTTGTACGTCGGACAAAATCACCTACTTTTTGCTCATCGGATGCATTTGCATTGCTTGTATCCCTCACAAGTTAGAAAACAATTTCAAACATGTACATGTAGGCCCCCCCTACATGTATGTTCTGTGAATCAGATACAAAAGTGCATTTATTTATTCTTGTAAGTGGATGCATATACATGGATCGTTAATGAATGATGACATCCACCTTCTGTTATCATCTGTGAGGTAGTGACAGGTGTGGCGTGGCACAGTGCCAACTCGACTCTAAATTTGGACTTGTACAGACTCCCATGATTAGACCAGCTATGATTGGACACACATGCATGTCTCTGGCAGGGCAGTGATGTATTTGCAGTAATCGGGAATCTCTCATTAGCCCTGTGCCCGGGAGTGTGTGGGGTGTGTACATAAAAAGGTCTCTAGTGCCACGTGTACAGCAGGGATCAACTTAGAAAAGTAGTGTGGAATTGAGTCATGTTTGTTTGTTGTGAATTCTTGTCATTGGCCGTTTGTCAGGGGTTCCTCTGGTTCCACACAGTCACGAGGAATGAAAATATTTTGTTTACTGTTTGTAAGATTACAACATGAAAGTGCATGTACCGGATAGTTATTTCATTCCAGCTTTCTGAAATACATATATCAGTTATAGAAAATCTGCCTTATCAACAACAGTAAATTGTTACCCTTGATAACTCCTCTGTTGTATGTTCAAGGGCTGCTTTCTGAAACTACAGATTTTCCTCAATTTTATCTTGAGTTGATAGCTTCCACATCATTTGGCAGACTGGACATGTTAAAATCAAATGACATGACTCTAAGCTCTGCCTTCACTCATGTACATGTATGACATGTGATGGTCCTGTCACCGCAAATTTGCTTGTCTGATGACTGGATTTGTGACATTTATAAATCATAGTTCACGGAGGTTAGGGAATTCGAAGTGGGAAGGGTAGTTGTTGCTGATCATCTGCAAAAATGGCCGGTGTGCAGTGTCGTTGAACTAGGGTGATATTTTTTCAAGCGTGTGTGTGCGCAGATGTCCACTTGCCGTGCGGTGACTTGTGTAATTACACACCCGTAACCCCTCTGAAAGTTCGCAACGTATTACGTGACACGTTGTGTTGAATTACCATCAAGTCATGTCTGCCTGCTGCTCCTTGGCTTGACTGGTTCTGCAGTTGGATGTATGCCTAGTGCACATGTAGCTCTCCCCCCCTCTCACCGTATGCCTTCCGAATCAATTTGGCTCTTTCAGCCAGCCTTGGACCATAGTCCTTTTTTTAATTATCCTCTCTGCCAGATTGGATCAGACCAGGACTGAGTAGATTCCAATCTCTGGTGATGGGTCCTTTTAAGGGGCATGTCCAGATGAGTGGCTGATCGCTGCTATTGTGGGTGCCATCAGAACTTTAATAACAAGTGACTTTGCTTAGTAGTGCATCCAACCAGTGAAGCTGTTCTTGAGTCGAAGGTACATGTACTTTGGAGAAGGGTTACTCTGTGACATTGTGAAACATGAGATGAAAGTCAGCGATACAGAAAAGACCATTTATTTATTTAAAAAAAAAACAGTACCCTGTATGCGTATGTCACACTGTAGAATCTTAGAGATCCCCCAAGATAACATCCCCAAATAACCTCCGAGATTTCTACTCCAAACTTTCAAATTTGTAAATGAGGAGGTGTGAATTGGTACATGTACTGTATGTGAAAACGTGTTTGAGATGTGCATGTTCCTCTTCACACTCAAGGCTTACCACTTTCATTCAACATCTCTTTGGCAAGATGAGTTCCTTTAAAAGTGTTTCCCAAGCTCTCTGCGGCAGTCCCACTAATATACCACTTGCACGGTGATGCCTCATGTTGCTTCCCTCGCCCCTTCCTCCTACCCCATCCGCTTTGGCCCGCCAGCTTGTGGGGCTGGCGTCAATTGTCCTATAACCGAGGCTTGACCTTTTCCAGGTGGAACACCGAAGAGAAATTGAAGGGGTCTGGTTAGGGGAGTAAAAAAAGAACCCCCCCTCCCAAAAAAAAAAAAGAGAAGAGAAGAGAGCAGCCCCTTGCCCGCAGGGGGATTGGTGTGCACTTTGCCAGCCATGGCAAGCTCCTGGCTTGGGAATGGCTCGGCCTGTACTGCTGGCTGGCACAGTACACTGTGCGCCACCGAGCTGTTCCTGGTCGATTATTGATGGGGGATTGTGTTTGCCTGTGTGGGAGGATTAATCTAATAATAGGCTCGGGTGGATGGATGGATGGGTGGATGGATGGATTGGGAGGCCCTGGACGGGGATGTTTGTTTACTGTTACATTTATGTCAGGTAGGGTTGGTAATATGACTGGCAGTTTGGTTTTATCATCCCTTCACGGTGCATTGTAACAACTCCATTTGGGGGATTGAAGACTGCCGAATATAATGTTTCATTTGGACTAACTGTGCACTAATTACAACTGTGCGGTAATTACATCTTAACTCCAAAATGTGTTTCCATTTTGAATTTGAAGACACGGGCTTACATCCTGTGAAAAAGAGAAAATAGCAGTGATTCATATTCAAAGTCAAGGTGCTAGACGGCTGTTATAAAATGCAGCCCAGGGTAAAATTGCCAAATACATTAATTAATCCTCCTGCTGCTGCAACAGTCGCAGGCAGCGAAAAATGCGTTCCGGTTAATCTGCCACAGTACCCAGGCACACGGGTCATTTGATTTATTTTGACTGACAGGACAACTCTGTCAAGAATGCATCTTTGCATAAGAGGATTTGAAACTTGATGGCCCGCTTTTCAGTTTGACATGAAATGATATGATAGCCATGCAGAAAACTGGATGCCTTTTAAATGTTATTTCAAACAACTTCAGCAGGTTGACATTTTTAGGTACTGTATACATACTTGTGAGGTTAACTCTTGCCTTCCATACAGCTTGCCTATACATGTACATTCATTAATGGCACCAATGCAGCTATGGGGAAACTGCAAATACAGTGTGCTCATCCAATTTGAAACCCGATGATAGCCTTCCCCCTTTGGCATTGCAATCATGCAGGCAGCGGGCGTAATATTTAATGAATCTGACATTTCAGGCCGGCGCCCTGTTTGCCCGGCTGCATGTTTCACACGCACGCACGCATGCTGGCAGGCAGGCAGGCACGTGCACAGACATGCAGGGCTTGAGAATGGAGGGACCAAGACCAGGCCAAGCTAGGCCGGGGCCATGCCCACAGAGCAAGCACATCAGGCTACGAATCACGTCAGCGGAATATGCAACCCGCCATCCCTTCATGTACTTGTACCTACCCCCCCCTCCCCCCACTCCGGAAGAAGACAAATACTGGGCAATGTGCCATGGCAATGCAGCCCGTCACTTAGAGCACACAGGATGAATGATGCTTTCTGTGATTTCATTGGGCGTGGTTGTATTTGCTCCATCTATTGACAGGTTTTCCTCCCTGTAGATTGCTGTGCTAGATTTCAGTTCCCAGCCTGTAGATACATGTGGTTGGATTTTTTTTGTAGTTACTGCAAATCTGCTGGATTCAGAGTGGCTTGGAAATGAAAATGGACACACATGGATGTTTGAGATTAAAACATTTGACACTTTAGTGTCTGTTGTATTTCTTGTATCCGTTATGAATTTAATAGATGCAGTGCTCATGCCATGAAAACCCCCTTGCGCATTCGCTGTTGTCTGCAAGACCACACATGTAGTTGAAGTTATGTTGCAGGGATTTAGTTCCATTGAACGGAAACCATTCAGGTGTCATTCCAAAGCTGACGAAAACCAGTGAAATTACTGTGAATATATCAGGAGAATGTCTCTAACATCAATGCAACCACAAGGCTAAATAACAAAAGAAGGAAACTACAGGGTGGTT